ATCATTGTAAACAAATAAGCATAGTTTCCAAACCCCCCCAAAAAAAAGAACCCAACATTTCAACAAACAGTATGACATTTCTAAAGAAGCAATCAAGCAAATTTTGAGGTTTCCATTCACAAATTTACAGATTATACTAACTTATCATTTCTATAAATAGTTTTTTTGAATTATATTGGGACATGGGATCCCATATAATTCGTGAAGTCATACAATATGGGAGAAATCTTATAGAAGAAGTGAGAAGAAGCTGAATGATTCTCTTAGAGAGATATTCAGAGAGTTTTTGAGGGTTCAGGATCGAGAGATATCTCGCTCATTTCCCTTTTTCTTCTTATTTATATGATATGCAGTTTATGTACCCACGCAGGGTAGTTAACAAAAACTTAAATTTTACTTGCAATGAGTTATTACAACCCCATTCATATTTTTTATTGTAGTGAATATAAATAAACTATAGGTACTATTTATTTCTCATTATGAAATAAATATTATTTGAACATGTTGATCACAAATATTAGTTCTAAAAAAGGTACACACACATTGTTTGTGTTTGTGTGTGTGTTTTATCAGAGAAGTAATATATAATGATTGAACTAGTAACAACATTGATGACACAATATGGTGGAGTCTTAAAAGTTTTTTGAAGTTTTTTTCCAAAGTATGTTGGCGTCAAAGCACGCTCACTTCGTTTTTCTAGCGAGATAATATCTAAATTGTTGAAGACAAATTATTCAATCATTAAATTATGATAGCTCAAATTTTACAGTGAACATAGTGTGTTGTTTTCCCATAGATGATGAATTCGTTGCAACACATGTTAATGATGATAATGAAATAGAAGTTATTTTAAAAATGACATGTAGTAAGCCATTGGCTAAAATGTTAGCATATAGTAAGCCATTGACACCAACACACCCACCCATAAACTATTATCTTAGAATACATGGAGAGAAGATGTTGGCATGTATATTAAAATTTTTCTAATTTTTTCTATTCATATTAAAATTATTTTTTATTTTATAGTTAGACTATTTTGTGGAGTTAAAATAAGGATGAAAAATTATATAGTGATGATAAGGATGCAGGTCATGATGAATGATATGATACTTTTGCCACAACACTGGCTTATCCTACCATACCTCAAGGCTCATGGTTGTCTACTTACATGGATTAACATCCTATGACATATCCAGGTACATTACCATCACAAGGTGCTGAATGCTCAGACAGTGCTCAGACATATGTATAGTAGTCGTCATTCAATCTATCATGGCGGTGGGAACTATCAGGATGTTTTACACATCCACATACACTATAGTAGAGGAAGTCGTTCTATGATGACAAAAAGTTCAGTATTGATACCCCACCAACAAATTTTTATTATCTGACACGAATTTTTGTGAAATTTTTAACAAGAAACATTTAAATTTTGATTAAGGGTCATTCGAAGCTTCGATTTCAGCAAACTTATAATCAAACTGAT